CATCTCAGAGATGTGGAGGCCCCCAAACCATTTGCCTCTAGGTGCACACTTCTGCCAATCCATTGTCAATCAGTACAGACACATAAGGAGTTCCAGGAACTGCTGCCTCAGGCATGTGTATCTGCCTCCATGATAGCACTGGTCACAGATATGAAAAGGGTTTTCCTCACCCTCGGCCTCAGAGGTACACATCCTCACCCTGCCTGCACGTGGTCCTAATAGGTGAGTAGTTCCTCTGCACCTTGCCTCTTGTACATTCTTCCAGTGTCCCACAGCACCAGGCCTAAAGAGGTAAGAAAACTACAGTCTCTTGCCACTAGGGATTACTTTAACTGCTCAACAAGTTCACTGAAGCCAGGCAAGGGAGAGACTAATAAAGCCATAGGAGCGGGAGGCTCTTCCCTTTCCTGAGTGTGCTCTTCTTCCCTGAGCACCACAGAGACAGAGGACATGATCCATTTGTGTCTGTCACATATGCATAACATTCTTCAAACACCCTGGCTTGGGAATTTAGAGGTCATGGGATCTCGAGCATTGGTTTACTTTCCCATATGAAACTATGTTCTAAGATTAGTGGACATGTGAAACTGCTGCCCTTGGTACAACCCACTGATACATCGTACTGATTCTGATTTATGAAGTCAGAGCCTGTGACGCTCTTCTCAAGAAAGCAACGATCACCCTCACCTACCCTACCCATGGTCAATGCCAAGTTCCTCCACAACTGAACTTTAAGCGCTACTGAGCCCCGTCAAGACTCATGAAGCAGAGGTGAGGCTAACACCACACACTCGCTCAACTCAGCTGTGACAAAAAGTCTCAACTCATTCCAGGTTGGCAAATCCCAAAGTGCAAACACTAGTGACTAGAAAAGCCAAGACAAAATATCTCCTCCAACAATTAACAGTCACTTAGTGATGGCTGCCAATAATGGTGACTTAAACAAAATCCTAGACAAAAATTTAAAAAAACAATTGTAATCAACATGTTCAAAAATTTCAAAGTGAACACAAATAAACTCATGAATGAATTAAAAGAGGATACAAATAATCTCCAGAGTCAATTCCAAAAGAACACAATCAGTTGAATAAATTAAGAAAATCAGTTCAGTATTGAAAATAGAATTCATCAAATACCTAGAAATACCGAATAAAATGCAAACTGAAATGATTTCAGAAATGAAAAATTCAGAAAGTCAATAAAAGCCTTGGTGGAAAGCTTCAAGAGTGAATGGATCTTATAGCAGGCAAAACATCAGAGTTTGAGGATAATACAGAAGATCATTCAGTTGAAGTTAATGACATCTTTTTTAAAACATATGAATGGAATGCAAAAGATAAGTAGGACACTATGAAAAGACAAAATTCATTAATTATAGACATAAAAGAAGGGGAAGAGTCCTATATCAAATTCATAGATAATATTTTCAATAAAATCATAGAGGAAAATTTCCTAAGCTCTGGAAAGGGATGCCCTTCAAGGTATAAGAGGCATAGAGAACATCAAATGGACAGAACTAGAAAAGAAACATTCCATGTCATATTGTTATAAAACCATACAGAATGAATAAAATATCCTGAAAACTTCAAGAGATAAAGCTTAAGTCATATATAAAGATAGTTCCATCAGAATAACAGTTCACTTCTCAAAGGAAACACTAAACCCTAGAAGCACTTGGAGCAACGAACACGCTTCAAGTCCTGAAAGACTTGAATATTACTATCCCAGGAAAATTATCTGTGCTAACGCCAATAAACAGAAGAGAATGATAAACATTCTTGGATGAAGAGCAATAGAAAATAATAAAACTGTGTGCATGTAAATGCATGATGTATATGTGTGTGTGTGTGTGTGTGTGTGTGTGTGTGTGTGTGTGTGTGTGTGTGTGTGTGTATGATATATGTGTGCTCATGTGTTTGTATGTGTTGAGGTAGATGATTGTCCCACAGCATGGATAGGCAGTCATAGGACAGCTTTGGGTATCAGTTGTGACCTTCTACCTTATTTGAGACAGGGTCTCTTTGCTGCAACTCCCTGATCTCTAAGGCTTTCACTCCTATATTTGGCTCTATGTTCTTTATTTAGTAAGACCATTTACAAATTCATCTACATCTCTTTGCTGTTCACTGCTTCATACACCAAGCTATTTGGACTGAACATTTCCAGGCATTCTCCTGTTTCTATATCTCATCTCACTACATAAGCCCTGAATTACAGACAGATACTGTAATATTATATTACATCCAGATTTGGGTTGTGGATATTTGTATGTAGGCAAACACATTAATTTCTGATCCATTCATCCCCTTTTTTTCTTCCTGTGAAGTCAACACAAATTCTTCTGATTTCTTATTCACTTATTCACTTCTTGATCGCATCCAGTATGTGTCCAAACTTTCTACCAAGTACATTGAAAAATCCATATTACTAGCTTGCAGTGCTCCATGAATGATTCTCTTAATTTTTCTCATCAATCTACATGAAGCTTCCACAACCATTTTCAGCTTCATGCATAAAGTATTTCAGAAGCTCAACAGTTGCAGCTTCAATGTATGTTATTTCATACATCGACAGCAGTGAAGAATTTCCATGTCTGGACAGTGTTCAGATTAATTCCATCAACCACCAGGTAAATGTGTATTCCTTGTTCAGTTTACCCATGCTGTGACCAAGAATATGAGGTATAAAAGTTGTGGTAGAGGTAAAAGTAGAGCTTGAACATAATCATCTACATAGCAAACATGCAGGAAAGCCAGATGCACTGCTCATTATTAATAGACTTTAGCTTTTCTTCCTGCAGGTAAGTTTTCATTTTGGATATAAAGCAGTAGTGAAAACCTTCTGTAGAAAAAAATGGCTGCCATCCTGGCTTTTTGATTACATTGCCAGGACATGGCATATGATCTCCCTGTGCTTTTCAAAGACTTAGATACTTTACTCTGGGCACGTGGCCTGATTATGAAATTCACCTCCATGATGCTGCACAGTACCAAGGTTGATCTTTCATTCCTATGTCCTGATAATATATCCTTTGCACTTCTATGATTTGGGGTTTTTCAGAGTGCTTTCCTGTCAAAGAACTAGGTTTCATGGCAACTGAACACTGGTCTTGGAGTACATTTATTCTCTTTAATCAATATTTCCAATTTTTCTAGAAACAGAACAGCAGTCTTGAAACACACAGCTGTATCCTCTCCAGCAACTGTCTTAGTGTCTCAGTCAGACCTACCACTAAACCTTTATAAGTCCCTGTTAGCTGCAGTACATGGCTTGATATCATTCCTCTCGGTGCCCTTTGATGATGTCATTAATCAGGGTCAATATGTCTCACACAGCACATTCCTGTAAGATGGGATGTGTTTCATGTTCATGTCTTCCATCCATAACTGGGAAAAACTAAGATGCCATTCTTATTTTAGCTAATATTTATCACTTATTGTGGCTGTAACTTTTCCAGTCTTAGGTGCAACCACAAAACTAATAAGAAGTTATTTTTCCTACTTCGCAATTTCATTAACAAAAGATTTATTCTACTTTTAGAATTGGCAACCTGAGCACACTAGTTTTTCTTTCCTTATAAATTGAATAAAATGTACCTATTTGTTTAAAATGATATCTCTACAGTTTCTTTCTGGTCTATCTAAATCGTCAGTACCCTACCCCTGTGCTTCAGGGCTATTATTAAGAAAAAATAAAGGGCTACTTGAACACAGGTACTGCCATTCCATGAGACAGCCAAGATGGCTGCAAAGGCACTAATGGTTAGCTGTAGCATGAATTTGTGGGAAAAACAGTGTCATGTTTCTCAGGTAGGGCTGGAGAGTTCCGCAAGTACGATTTCATTACGCTAGTCATAATAATGCATACCTCGAACGTTACATTTTGTTTCTGATCATTTCCACTCAGTGTGTTCAGACCACAACTGTTGTGGATTATGAACATCAAGAAAAGTAAGATGCAGATAGGGTGCCAGGTGGTGACTGTTGGATGTGTGGAAAGCACTTAGCTCAGTGTGTAACCCCTGAGAAGGGTTCAGTTGATGGATATTACTAATGACACTATCATCATTATTATCATAGGATAGTCATATGTTTATGCAAAATAACAGATCAGAGGCAATTGAAAAGGCTGGCATTCAGAATCATTTCCTTCTCTCATGCAAAAGTGTTTACTTTGTAATATTTTCAGCATAGAAATTTTTCATGTGAAATAATAGATCAGAGGCAATTGAAAATGCTGACATTTAGAGTGGTTTCCTTCTACCATGCAAAGAAAATGTTTACATTGAAATCATTTCAGAATAAAATATATATATATATATATATATATATATATATATATATATATAGAGAGAGAGAGAGAGAGAGAGAGAGAGGAGAGAGAGAGAGAGAGAGAGAACACCATCTATTGGTTTTAATTGAAGTTAAACTAGTTTTCTTTACAAATTATTCCCATCCAATGGTACTGAAATGCTTTCCTGGAGGTACATTTAAGAGCATAAATTAAACATTAATAAACATGAGATGGTATTTATATGTAAGTTGATTGCTCTTTGGGGGATAAGAGGGCATGATGCTCCTCTCTGCCACCAGAGGACCATGACCCAGTTCAGCAGCTCAGGAACATCTGCCATGTCTAAACAATCATTCATCATTCAGGGTTTTCTGTTTTCCAATTTTAAAGAAACTCTATGCTTTAGCTATTTTGATATTGTTTATCCGTATTCCTTAAAGAAAGCGGCTTTAGCATCAGCATCTGATACTGGGAGATAATTCAGAAGAAGAAAAAAAAAGCAACAACAACTTAGTCTTAGCTGGAGCTAAGTCCTTTGTACACAAGCTTTCCTAAGCTCTCAGATATCTCACTGATAGAAGGTTTAACTCTTTTTCCACAGAACTGCAGAAGGAATACAGAAAACAGTACAATTTTTACTCTGACAACAGGCAATTGGGTTTTCTTTTTCCAGGAAAATTTAACTTTTAAAAATCCACACTACAGACCTGAGGCCATACAAGACTGTGCCGTCTGGATGCAGTCGGATCATACGGTTTTTGACGGTCACTCCATGTACAAAAGACTTCTTATCATTCAGGAAGTAGGTGTCAGGCACCCAGAGCTGGTCTGCCACTCGATTGTCCAAAGTCAAGTTCAAAGGTATTACATTGTAGGACAGCCTCTTATCTCTCCAGGCTTGCTGAAAATACATGGTCAAGGTATAGTCCTGTGGATGTGAGAAGAAATACAGTTACTTTGTATCATAACAGACCTGTGGACTGTATTAATCCATTTAACTCTTTCTTTGGAAGCACCTACTATATGACATGCATCTAACATAGCAGTAGGAACTATGAATATAAGGTGAAGAAAATATGTCTACACAAAAGGTGTTATATGTTACAGGAGGATAGATATCAACAAATAATTACAGAACTGCTTTTTTTTTCCTTTACAAAGTAGAGTGCATGAGGTTGTTTTAGGTAAGATATAAAAACAATTTTAAAAGACTAGATAGGCGCTTGTTTTCTTCTGTCCTGAAACAATTAACTAGCATATCAAATCTAAGATTTCATGCATTGATTCATTCAACAAATATTAAATTCTTTCTTGGTATGTGGCTGACAGTGCTGAGGGGTAGGTCAAAGCCTGATCTCAGGGAATTTATAAACAAAGCACAGATAAATGAACAGAGTATCGCATAATGCTGTAGTCCACAAAGCAAATAAAGCAAATTTAAAGACATTTATCTGGGATGGTGTGGAGAAAAGCCTCTCTAAGGAGCTGAGATGGTGTAGAGACCAGGTAAGCCCAAACTACTAGCACTTAGAAGAACATGTTTGGCACAGGAGATTCTTCAAAGGTCCTGAGGTTGGAGTGGAATTGCCATGTTTAGTGATCAGAGTAAAGAGATTCACAGAAGAGAGCAGGGACACATAGGAAGAGTGGGAATAGAACAACTTCATAAGATTTACCATTCAGAAGAGGACAGATATTTATAATACCCAGCTATGAAATGATAACAAATGCTGGTGAAGATATGGGGAGAGAGGAACCCTATTACTTTTGGAAGAAATGTGAACTAGTGCAGACACTGTAGAAATCATTATAGACATTTTTTCAAAAATCTAAAAATAGAATTACCATATGACCCAGGTTACAACTTGTGATAATACTAAAAGGATTCTCAGTCCTACCACAGAGGTACCTGCACATTGATATTGATTTGGCATTATGGGCTGTAGCAAAGAATTCAAACCAGCACAGACGACCATAAACTAATGAATGAAAAAATGTAGCACATATAAACAGTGAGAGTTTACAGGCTTGAAGGTGTAGCACAAATCCTAATTGGTCTTATTAATAAAAACCTGGAGTCAGATATCAGGGTGAAAGCTGAAAGATCAGAGAAGCAGAGCAGCCAGCCACTAGTTCTTACCTCTATGAATCCCTCAGACAAAAAGGAAGGAACCGAACTCCTGTCTCCTCCCGCCTTATATACCTTTTTTTCTGCCCAGCCATATCATTTTCCTGTCTCAACCTCTTTAGAGCTGAGATTAAAGATGTAAGATCCCAAGTGCTGGGATCAAAGGTGTGTGCCACCAATGCCTGGCTCTGTTTCTCTTTTAGACTGGATCATTCTTGTGTAGCCAAGGATAGCCTTGAACTCACAGAGGTTCCTCTGCCTCTGCCTCCCTAGTGCTGGGATTAAAGGTGTGTGGCCTTTATGGCTAACTAGTGGCTTAGCTCCACCTCACTCTGATCTTCAGGCAAGCTTCATTTGTTAGATCACAAGCAAAATATCACCACATGAAGGAAAAAGTCGTATTAACAGGAAAAATTATAAACTGTAAATTGTTAACAGAAAGAAGCCAGACTTTGAGAGACAAATTCTTCATTTTTTTTCTGTCACACATGGATCTTAGACACAGAGAGAGAGAGAGAGAGAGAGAGAGAGAGAGAGAGAGAGAGAGAGAGAGAGAGATGAGTGCATTTGTGCATCAGAGTCATTAAACTGGAAAGGAGACCACAGGGAAGAAGGAGACCAGCCAAAGAAGGTAAGAGGATGGGAGATGGAAGTAGAGGAAGAGAAAGAGAGCTGGTTATCAGGTACACATTCATTACTTCTTTTTGCCTGAGTTGATTAAGTATAAATGGAGCTTTTAGTATATGCCCAATCTACTCAGGACTATTATGGAAATTAAATAAATAATGCAAATGCAATTTGTAAACCACAAAAGCCAATATATTATGAATAAAGCATTTACATATATATTGTGACATGCTTGATCCATTAGAAGCCTATGGGTACAAAGGAATTGCTCTCTCCCCTTCATTTGAATAACTAACCGGAGGACCAAATACTCATTTGAAAAAAGATAATTACAAATCTATTTTAAAATTAATTCACAATGACCTACTTGAGGGCTTTAAAAAAAATGAGAATCATGTCTTAATCATTCTAGCAGCCTGTGAGGCTCAATCAACACCAGGGCACAAACAGTGAATGTGCTGTAAATTGTGCCTCTGGGATCTCTGCCCAGAGCTGAATAATTCTGGGTATAAGGAATGCTATTCAATCTCACAATGCCCCAAGTTCTTCCAAACTTGGTTGGGATTTATGTATTCTAATTCAGTGCCTCACATGATATTCTATGCTACAAACACTTATAAGAAAAGTAAAAGTGTGTATACAAAAAAAAAGTTTAAATATGTCTCTGGATCTGCTCACTTTGTCCTCATCAAGAAGTTACTTCATCAAACAGCTTCTAAATTTAGCATCAGACTTCTATTTTAATAATACAGATATAACTAATATTCTAAAGGCATTTCAGACATTTGTAGATGAAATTCAGTTCAATGGATCGCTCTGAGCATCACTTTGGACTGTTCTGCAAATTTCTAGTTCAGTGAAGAGTTAGTATGAAGGTTCTTAGGAGAATTCAGCAGCTTGATAGAAACAACATTGGAAACTCAGGAAGCACAATTCCGCAAACAAGAACTGGACCCTGAATAGTTTTCCTAAGTCTGTGTTACAAATACCTGAAAACCAGGACATAAAAAATAAATAGGTAATTAATATTAAGAATGAGGAAATACACTTAGTGATTAATAATTCTTGAGATAAAATGAAAACTTTGATTACTGATCTTATTAGAAGTCAAAGCTACTTACATTGCCTTTAATAATAAACTTTCTTTATATTAAACACAATTTGAAAGAGACAGATTTTGTCAGCCAGCTGATACATATTTGGATACATGAAATCGCATTCTCTTTTGGTCCGAATGAATGGTAATGTTGTGATCCTCTGTTACATGCTAACAAGGCATTTCCTGCTAAGAAGTACTCCCATACAGAACCTGGACATTGTGTAGACTAGAGTATCAGCTTTCATTTCATTTATCTCAAAATTACACACCATGGCACTATCAAGAAAGGAAGAATTTGTACACATGAGGAAAGAATGTTCCTATAGTCGATCCTCCCCGTATCCACTTGTTTACCTCAGATAAACCCATTCAACTTTCGTATTGATGTTGTATCCTTTAGAATTTAACCATGGGGAGCTGTCTCAAAGTTGTTGTATTCAAACTAGAAACAACCTGACCACAATCCAGATCATCAGCATAAAAGACAGATTTAGAATATCAAAACTAAAATCAATTCTTTTTCATTACTGTGCAAACTGAAGTTAAGTCCACTGTAGGCTGTTTGTCCCACTAACCGCAAGCAAAACATAAATCTAGAAAGATTATGAAAGCAGCTATCTGATGATTATATAAAGCTAAACATAGTAGATGGATAACAAAAGGAATCAAATGTGAAGAAAGACTACTACAAGAGTGATATTATTGTTTTAATTTTTTGTCTTCCTTTGTTATTTTATTTAACTGACACACATGCATATGCACACATGTTCTCATGCAAAGCTGGAAGCACATAGCCCTGAATAACTGAAGATACTTGCTATATTCATGACTGTAAGGGTAAATGTTATTAAGCTGTCATTTTCATTGAAATCAATCCATAGATGTGACTCAACAGCAACATTAATCATACTTTTCCCTTATGGGGGTCATTTTTGTTAATAGTAACATGATGCTAAAATTCATATGCAAAACAAATGAGAATAGTCAAAAATAGCTAGGCGTCATGGTGCAAGCCTTTAATCCCAGAACTCTGGTCGTAGAGGCAGCAGATCTCTGTGATTTTTGAGGCCAGTTAGTACAGAGTGAGTTCCAAGATGGCCAGGGCTATTATACAGAGAAACATTGTCTCAAAAAACAAAAACAAACAAACAAACAAATAAACAAACAACACACAGAATAGTCAAAATGATTTGGAAAAGAAAGAACAATATTGAAGGACACAGAATGGGTCTTAAGACTTAGAATGAAAGTAGATGCAGATATGTGGTGATAGTTATAGATACATAGATCAGTAAAAAAATAACCACATACACCTGTATGTTTACTTGATTTTCAACAAAGGAACTGAGGCGATCAGTTGGAGAATGCATAATCTTTTCAGCACCTGTCCAATTCAACTGGAATATCCATATTAAACTAACAGACTCATCGTTCTGGAACCATAAGCCCAAATAAGCACATTATCTTATGAGTTATCTCAGTCATGATATTTTGTCACAGCAATAAAAACTAATGCACAAAATATGACTATGTATGTCTTTACATACACTTGTAAATATAAATATGAAATTGTCAAAATAAAATTCAATCATTTGGATGCTGTCCTAGTAGAGTAATTATAAAAATTAAAGAAAAGCTATGTGGCATTCATGCAAAAGAATATAAACAAATAATAAAAAGAACAAACTTATTAGTATAATATCATCACTGGTTAATGAATCCAAAAAATGAAGTGAAAGAAGTTAAGACTCAAAAGGACTCATATTATACAATTGAGTTCATATGATATCCTGGGAAAGGTAGATCTTTGGGGAAAAAGAAAAGAAGGGTGTTACTTGGGGATTCAGGATGGGCTGAGAGGTGGTTTGACTCCAAAGGTAGCACTGGTGATTTTTGAATGACAGCAAAGCTCTGCATCTCCTTCACTGTGCTAGTTACAGGATTTTAGGAATTTTTGAAAACTGAGAATTCTGTCCTTACGTTGAGTGCCTTACTTTGTATGCAAATAAGAATGTATTTTGACACTTCTTTTAAAAGTAGTATGACTGCTGGGTGAAGGAAAAATAGCTTTTTT